TCTATCTAGAAGTATATTAAGACTTATACACCAATAAAAAGGAAATACACAGGAGAGATGTACATATAAAAATAAATGAGTGACACAGTGAGAAAGCTGTGTCCTCTACCGTACTTTTCTTCAAAACTCAAAAGCCTAGTTTGATCATGTGAAAACATCAGGCAAACCCAATCAGTATTATTCTACAAAATATCTGTTAAAAATATCTTTTAAAACTGTCACAGATCAGGGAGACACAATGACTAAATGCAACGTAGATCCTGAACTGGATCCCAGAAGAGAAAAAAGACATTAATGGTAAAACTAAGGAAACCTGAATAAAGTTTCTGGTTCAGTTACTAGTAATGTACCAATGTTAACTTCTTAGTTTTGACAAGTGCATTGTGGTCATAAGATATTATCCTTAGGGTAGCTGGGTGATGGGGATATGGGGCCTCTCTGTACTCTTTATATTTATGGAAATTTAACATGATTCCAAAATTTAAAAAGGGGTTTTTAAAAAGCATATGAAATTTTCCTTCTGTTTATAGTAGATTATATAATTAGGGCCAATACTTTCAATGACCAACTAGACAAACTGGATAAAATATACAAATATATCTGTGTAAAGGCATCTGAGAACTATCAAGAGGCTAAACAAAGAATAATCTTCTCAGTATCAAGGAGAATAAAGATGTCTAGCGAGCTGCCTGGTATATTGTGATAGTTTTTGTCCTGTGGGCACTACCCTGTCTAGAGACATGGCTGAGAGACTGAGCAGCACTTTTGACAGCCTTTCTATGTTAGAAAGACAAAATTTGGATTCTAGGACTTGTATGTACTTTGGTATATCCCACACATGTTGGCTTGGACTCCAAAGACAGGCAGCCTAGGAATGAGGGTAAACTGGAATTAAAGCAGCTGTCATTGGGTTACAGCACAGCTTTGAATCATCTGAGTATCCCAGGAATTTGAATCCCTGAAATTGAATTAAGATGATCCAGACTGCCACTGCCTGGCAGAAGCATCAGAAAATCCTCACAAGATAAAGATAATAGCCTAGCCCTCAAATTATATCTACATATACTTTTTCAAATATAACTTCTATTATACAAAGATAACCAGGCATATGAAGATGTAAGACAGAATAAAAAAGAATTAGCTGATGAAACAGATAATAAGACATATCCACAAAGGCCATATTTTAGAATTATCAAACAAAACTTCTTAAATAACTGTTATTTTCTGCTCAAGGAGATAAAAAAATAGAATATCGAAAATTTCAATATAAGGTATATTATTAAACTTAATTTTAATATAAATATAAAATTTCAATATAAAACTAGAAACTCTGAACTTCTATTTGAAAATAAACCATAGAAATTCTAGGAACTGAAAAATATAATAAATTAAATCAAGAATTCTGTGAATAGTTTCAAAAGCAGATTATACATAGCTGAGGAGAGAATTAGTCAAGTAGATGTAAGCCAGAAGAAAATATCTAGAATGAAGATGCAGAAAGACAAAAGGATGAAAACTACAGAAGAGTGTAGGATACACAGTGTATACAGTAAGAAGTTCCAAATTAGTTTTAATTGAAATTTATAAAGGACAAAGAATGGGAAAGAAGCAATATTTGGAGAGGTAAAAGCTGTTTACTGAACGGAGGAAAGACATCACTCTGCAGATATATCAAACCAAGTGAATCCTAATTCAGAAAATAAAAAGGTATCACCGAGGGCAGCATTGCCCAACAGAGCCCTGTGGAATGATGAAAATGTTCTATTCTGCACAATTTAATGTGGTAGCCACTAGTCACATATAGTTACTGAGGACTTGAAATGTGGCAAGTGCAACTGAGGAACTCAATTTTAATTTAATTTGAATTAATTTTAATTTAAACAACCACATATGGATAGTGGCTATTGTATTGGGCAATGCAGATCTGGACCATCATAGTAAAACTACTGAAAAGCAAAAACAAAGATTGAAATTTTAAAAGAAATCACAGAAAAGACATCCCAGAGGATGGTAATCAGATAGCTACATTCTCTACATAAACAATGTAAACCAGAAAACAATAAAATGTGCCAAAAACAGAATAACTGCAAACCTAGAATTCTATTCCTAATAACAACATTCTTCAGCAATGGAGGTAAATTATGTTATGTACCTAATTTATCACATAGGCATCATTAAGATGAATTTGCATATTGGCCTTGACACTTTTGAGGCACTGAGTTCTTGCTGATTTCCTTGAATTCTGAGAAGTTATCTTCTCAGCATGGCCCCTTCCACCGCAGGGGGATATTTACCACTTTCTGCACATACTTCTGTTGTAGCATTTATACTATCATGTTTTATTCACTGGTTTATATGTTTGCTTCTCTTACTTGTCATTTCTCTCAGAAGTTTTGAGCATAAATAATAATTATTATTTCAGAGGTTATCCAAAAGTACACCATTTGAAAACTAAAAGTTAATGAGTAAGACTAAGATTTATTTCACAGTCACTTGTCTAGGAAATGTTGGAGACAAGCATCCAAAACTTTTAGAATATTTCAAATGTTATATGATATCCAAAACTATATTACTTTACAATACAAAGATGCCTTAGAAATATTTATGTATTAAACTAATTTATCTATTAAAGAAATTCAGTCTCAGAGATATTAATTAAACTGCCCATGGTCTCACAAAGTAGAATCAGAACTAAACCCAGGTCTTCTAATCCCATGAAGGTTTCCTATATCATGATATCTCAGAATTAGCACTCCTTCTGCTTATACTGGATCCAGCAACTTAATAGTTCCTCTAAACCATTTCTGACTTTAGCAATTATCAACTTTTTAAAATCAACTTTTAGTCTTTACTAGAGTATGAAAGAAACATTGACCTGGCAATCCGGGGACCTAGATTCTTATCTCTATTACCAGTTGAGCTGGGAATCTTAGAGAATACTAAGTGCTTTCTCTGGGTCTGTTTATTTCAAAAATTAACATATTCCATGAAGCAAGCTATATAAAAAGGACAGATAGCCTAGAATAGGTCTGAATTTAATTCTTATCCTTAAATCCTATCATTCTATTTCAGATATTCTGAATTACTTTCTGTTCTTTGCTTTATCCACTTCCCTTTGAAACAAATATACATAAGCAAACATGTCTCAGAGAAAGTTGAATTAGTTGTTCTTAGTAATCACCTTCAATGAGTAGTTTTTACTGAATGTTATCTAGGAGTGAAAACAATATAGCCAGTTAAAGAAACAAACAAATAAACAAACATCTGTTCCACATTGATAGGTTGACATGGTCTAAAGGATGGAGATGTATCATTAATGTAGGGAGGGCATGGTTGGGGGAATTGCATGTAACTTGCAAGTTACATATCTACCTAAGTATATTTTATATTACTCAACTAGTTTCTGAATTGGATCATTTTTTAAAAGATGAAGAATAGTTTTTAAAATACTAGATAATTATTAGTCCTGGGTAAACCAGCGTTTCCAGGATACAAATAAAAAAAATTCAACTCAAATATATTCTCTCTGTATTCCCTGCTACTACATTCTCAGGCCGAAATGGCCAGGAATTGGCTGTCTCTGGGCACAAGGCAGGGTGAACAGCTGTTTGACTCGCTGCATTTGACTCCTTGTCATTTGGCAGGTTGAGATCTCTGCTGAAAGCACCATTTGGAATGTTTTTCCCAAAACTGGTATTTTTGAACATGGAATGTGTAATTTAGTGAGGCACTGCAGTACACTCATGGAATAACAGTGCCAAAAGGGAGTCTGGTAGATTTACGTCAAAACCTAACTTTCCCCCAGAAGTGTTTAGAGATAACCCTAGATTGGCTGGGGTGGGTAAGACAGAATGTGAAAATGGGTTTTCTGAAAATGTGAATATAAAAGATGACACTAGCTCCAGATGTACAGATTAGTGAGGAGAGAAAGTCAGACATGAGTATAAACGAAGACAATGCATAAGGAGGTAGAAGGTCGGCCACAGATACTAAAGGGAGATAGGTTAGGAAAATAAAATAAAGAGGCATTAGAGAATCCAAGAGGGTCACAAAGTCGAGGTTTTGGTATTTGTGTAATAGTAATAATAGTAGTAGTAGGTATTATCATTATTATTATTATCATTATAACAACAGCGACAATAACAAAAATAGTTAATGCTCATAGAGCACTTAGTGTACATGTCAGCACTGTTCAAATACTTTAAATTAATAATTCATTTAATCTTCTTGACAATCAGATGAGACAAGAACTATCATTATTGTTCCCAATTTATGGCAGACAAAACTGAGGCACAGAGAATTTAAGTAACTAGATCGAGAGCACACAGTTTGTAACAGGGAAGCCATGGTTTGATTCTGTGGCTTAGAACTAATGAATGAAACTAAAATCTTAACCACAGAATAAAAAACACTACAGAGAAATGGAACATATTTGAATTAAGCATATAACCCAGCTTGCAAATAATTGGGAACCTGAGATTTTCTGTTCATTACTATTTTAGCAAAGCCTGGCCAAGGGAAGAAGCCCCACTGTAGCCCTATGTGGTAACAGCAGAAAAATATGCCAAGACTGACCGAATTCCTTTTTGTTTGAATCCTTCATGTGGACGATATTCACAAATTCACTTCTTTTGTCTCCATCTTCAGACCAGAGTACACACAAACGTAACGCTTCCTTTAAGGTTTCCAATCCTGTCTAATCATTAGCGATCCTCCTTACCCAGAAAGTCTCTTTATATGTAAAATCAATCATTGACTTTCCAACATAAGCCTATTTCCTCTTCTCTGATCTTTATTAGCGGTGGGAGACACATGAAGGTAGTTAAAATTCTAATCACCTTGAGTTTTTCTTTTTTATTTAATAACTCATTTAAATGTACTTCTGCTAAATCCTATTTTAAAATCTCCCTGACGTTAATTACAGATATACTCAAGTCTTTCTGACAGGCCTATTTTGCCATCTTTAAATGAACTTAAATGGTGAGTTTTTTTCATCTTACCTCTCCATTTTCTAAGGGGTGTATCTTGGAATAAAATGAAGTGCAGATGACCTCATCATCTTTGGCATATGATGGGGGTCCAGTGCGGGGATAAATATTGTAGAGGGTGAGGCACTCTGTGTCTGTCACAGCATGATACTGCCAGGGCTTGTACTCAACATCATCAAGAGAGCGTTCCAAAATCCAGTTTCCAGGCCGAGGGGAGTTAGCTGCTTTCACAATCACATAGGCAATCTGGAACACCTGGCGAAGAGGAAAAACAGCAACAACGTGATTTTGAATTCCAAACTATTCTCATCATTTCACGTCAAATACAAAGTAAATGCTACCATAGATTTCATTTCAGATTTCACTCTATAACCCTATTATGTTCTTTGAAATAATTGTATTATGGGGCCGGCCCGGTGGCGCACTGGATAGTGCGCCGCTTGGGAAGCGCGGCGGCGCTCCCGCCCGAGGGTTCGGATCCCACATACAGACCGGTTCCCGCTCACTGGCTGAGCGAGGCGCGGGAGCAACACCGAGGGTTGCAATCCCAGGGGAGTTAGCTGCTTTCACAATCACATAGGCAATCTGGAACACCTGGCGAAGAGGAAAAACAGCAACAACGTGATTTTGAATTCCAAACTATTCTCATCATTTCACGTCAAATACAAAGTAAATGCTACCATAGATTTCATTTCAGATTTCACTCTATAACCCTATTATGTTCTTTGAAATAATTGTATTATGGGGCCGGCCCGGTGGCGCACTGGATAGTGCGCCGCTTGGGAAGCGCGGCGGCGCTCCCGCCCGAGGGTTCGGATCCCACATACAGACCGGTTCCCGCTCACTGGCTGAGCGAGGCGCAGGGGCAACACTGAGGGTTGCGATCCGTTGCCGGACACAGAAAAAGACAAAAGAAAAAAAAAAAAAAAAAAGAAATAATTGTATTATTACATGTTCGTATTTAATAACTTTTTGCTGAGAAGAGATGTTTCATTTTGACAATGTGGCTTTAAAAGAAATGGGTAGAGACTCTATTTTTGTTCTCTAACAACTCATTGGCATCATTTTGCTTAATTTTTAAAGTTCCATTATAGTCATTACAACCTGAAGCATTTATGGCATACCAATTTACTTACCTTACTGTGTTAGAGACTATAAAATATGAGTTAGAAATTCCATGTGTAAATAGTGCTTGATAGTTTAGAAAACATATTATTTATATCACTTGATCCTCAAAAAAAGCACCATTTAGATGGAGTGAGTGAGGTGCAACAAAAACCACATAGGCACATTCCCATGTTCAAATTGTGGTTCCAGCATTTATGTGAACCTTGGAAGATTACTTTTCCAACTCTTAGCTTCCTTTTCTTCCTTGAATTAAGGTCAATAATAAGCATACCACTGAGATATAGTTTGGAGTTAATGAGATAATGTATGCAAAGTATCTGGTCAAGGACTTGGCAAATAAATACTCAATAGATGTCATTTCCTCTAGATCTCCAAATAGAAAATAATGGAGAAGAAATTCCAGTGATATGAAGACAACTGACTGAAACGGGAATGAATGAAATAAAGCGTTTCTGTACCTTCCATATACAAGAGGTAAACGTGTAAAAAAAAAAAAAGAGAAATAAAGAAAGAGACATCATTTCTCTTAGTCAACAGAGTGACAATTGTGATGAATGTGGCAATCCTCCATTTCAAATCTGCATAGAATTTGAAGAAGTAAAACAGAAATACTCTGGATGTTTGATGATAGTGTCTTTACAATTGCAATCCAAAGTCCAAAAGAATAATGCACAAGCATTATTGAATGACATTTATGTGCCATGTGATGGGTAGAAAGATAAATTTAAAAAACTAGTTTAAATTACTGTCCCACCACTGATGGATTGATAGTATATTGTAAAAATGAGACATATGAAAAGTTCAATAACAATAACGCATATGATATGTTCTTGATTAGTAAGTGCTAAGAGATATAGGGAGCTTGACAGCTCTAACCTCTGAGTGGTTGGGGTCACTGATGGTGCACAATTGGGATGACAGCCACAACTGGGATGACAAGCCCATTACAACGGGATTAAAGGCCCTGCTGAGCTACAGAGGGAATCTTGAAAGAAATGTTCTAGAAATAAATATTACCTGCTTCATAGTTTTGATGTGGGACCTTCATGATTACATGTATAATATCTATAGTATAGTCTAAGGGACTGAATTTGAAAATATGAAAAGTTGGTATTTAAGCAGCAATACAGGTGGCTCTGATGCTGGTCCTTTCAGATCTTTACTAGACTGTGGGCACATGTGTGTAGGGAGAGGGAAATCGCAAGCCATCAAATGATTGAAAGTAGGGCTGTTATTTGCCTTTTAGGCATACTTGTGGAAAAAACTCGGTGTTTAAAACATTGAAATAGGCTGGCCCGGTGGCGCACTGGATAGTGCGCCGCTTGGGAAGCGCGGTGGCGCTCCCGCCCGAGGGTTCGGATCCCACATACAGACCGGTTCCCGCTCACTGGCTGAGCGAGGCGCGGGAGCAACACCGAGGGTTGCAATCCCGTTGCCGGTCCCGGTCCGGTACGGGGGCGACACTGAGGGTTGCAATCCGTTGCCGGACACGGAAAAAGACAAAAACAAAAACAAAAAACATTGAAATAAATGCTTCTGTCCAGGTTAGCAAATCACTGCTGCCCAACCTCCCAAATGCCTCCTTTTTCTGAGACCATCTGTTTAATGCCAGCATAGCAAGGAACAGCCAAGACATCCATTCTGATTGGTCTGGGCTTTGACCATTGTGTTTTAGTATCACTGCAGGTGGGAAATATTAATAAGTTTATATTAACAAATATAAACTTAACAATATGAGCATAATTGCAAATAGACATACATATCTATGTATGTGCATATCAATGCTTGAATAGCTTAGGCATTGGGGTAAGGATACACATGAACATAAGAAAGCCATTACTTGTGGGGCAGGAAAATGAGGAATCAAGGAAAGAAGGAGGCTTTTAGTTTCCATCCCATATTCTGCTATATTGTTTGTATGAGTGTTAACATAAATGTCTAACTTTTTGATAAAATTATTTTTAAAATAAGGAAAAATAAATATCAAAGAAAGGAGAAAAGTTGGAGTAAGATAGAATATACTTCATCAACTGTTATCCAAAATACTTACTATTTATGCATTTTTTAGATGTTATTCATAAGCAATTATTTCTTTTAGGTAGTTCATATTCAACAATTCATCACATGAAACTTCTTTTAAAAGAAATTCACTGATGAATGTGCCAATTGATTAATCTTCTAGAACGCAGAAACAGAGTTTTCTCAACTATAAAATACAAAATACTCTGGTCCTAACTGCTGGTAATCCCACAGTATTCCTGACAAGGTCTTAAAATGATAAAGAATATGAATAATTAAATTGCGGGCTCCTGGAGGGCAGGGCCTATAGCTTTTACGTCTTTAAAGATGCTACAATCCTTATTAGAATTCCTTTGGAATGGTGGGCATTCAATATTTATTAGATTTAGTTGAATGACCAAAATCGCTGTAACATGCTACCATGTTACTGCTATTAATTTAACACTGGTGTTTCCTGTTTGTTTGAGCTTGAATCCCAGTCAACACTATCCTATTTTGTCACTTGCAGGCATACATTCCTTTGGTGTTTGTCCCATTATTTCTCTGAGAACTAAGAAAACTACTTAAACTCTTTTACCCTATGTTTCTTTTCCAAAGTCACAATCACGAAAGAGATAATAAAATAATGAATAAAAAACACTGCATATTCTTTGGAAAAGAGATCTATATAAATATTTCAAATTAGCATCTTTCCTTCCAGAAAAAAACAAATCTCATAGAGATATTTTTAAAAGATGGAAAAAAAAAGAGAGAGGTAACAAAGCATATTAGAGATCACAGGGACTCAATAAGAAAAATAAGTATACACTGAGGTTACAGATAAAGAACTTTCCTTAGAAAGTAGCTTAGCAAGCAAATATAGGGAGAGGCCAAGTTTTCTTGGATTTACAATATGGATTTATGGCCTAAGAGCTTCTGTGTTGGCTCTGAAATAATAGATGAAAATAATGCATAAAAAAAGTTCTACTAGAAATCCCACAGATTCTTTCCATAATTCAATATAACAACCAGCAGTAAGTGACATGGAAAAGCAGTCACTGCCTTAGAGAACATTAGAAGTGTCCCATTTCAAAACAATATTCTCCTTTCATTTATTTTCTGTGGATTCTTTCACATTCCATGCAAATTTGATTAAATTAGTTGGCATGTAGTTTTTGAGTAAACTTTTTAAAATGTGCTAAATAGCATTATTGAAAAAGACAATGGATAGTAGAAGTATTCTTTGAAGGCTTCAAAGAACAACTGAAAATTTTAACAATGATTTTCTAAGTATTCCAAAATTCTACTGCTGTGTTAGAACAACTAATGCTATCTATGCTACTTTTATTAACTGTGTCTTGTGTTTTCAGTACAAAGACCCTTCAAAATCAGTAATTATAACTTATTTCCAGATGAATAAAATCTCAATCTGTTGCAATAATGATGTGCAACAGAAAAAGCAAACACTCCTGTTACAAGTACTAAAATGCTGTGACTACTAGGTTTCAATGAGTCTAATATATCAATGCATGATACCTACATGTTTTTCTGTTGGAGGACACTTTTTTCAAATTTGGTGACTGAAAAGAAAAAATCTGAAATAACTTTTAAAATAGTACCAAATGTTTGAAATGTTACTGTAACAAAGGGAACTATTTCATATTCCATTTGTTACTCATTTAAATTGTTCATCTAACAAAACACCATTTAATTACTTCACAATGCAGCATTGAATCATGTATTCCTTCTATATAGGAAGAGTATTCAGAACTTGATCTCATTTAGTGTGGAACTGGAGAATAGGGTCTTTCTGAAGTATCCTTTAATGAATAGGTAACATACAACAATCATCACATAGAGCAATGATCTCCCATCTTTTCCATATTGTGACTAAGACAAATTGATATTTGTAGAGCTCTGGGGTAAAAGAAGTTCTCACAGCTTGAAGTGAGCAACCTAGGAGCTTTGGCCACTCTAGCTACTGCTCTGGAGCTGAATATCTTAGCTCATCATGTCAGGAAGTGTGAAAACCAGAATCAATTTCTAGCACATATATTGCTGCATCTGAAATTTTTAAAAAATATCCTTCACTATGCCTCTCAGGAATCCACATTATCCCAGATTCTTTG